ATTTTAGGGTAGAAGCACACAGAGAGCACGTTGATGCGATTTGGATATGAATTGAAGAATTTAATTGAATTGAAAGGGGTGTTTAGGTCTTTTTCACGATGGGGATGTTTTGGACATTTGATAATATTTGTTTATTGTATTTTGTAATTGAGGGACATTTGACCAACAAAGACTGAGAAAATGTTATTTAATGAAATACATTGTTTGACTCGATCATTTAACGAACTCTCCCTTTTAAATATGAGTAATGTCATTCATCATCACTGGGGTTACAAACATAGTTTAGGTGGCGTTAATATAACATTAAATGATAGGTGAAATTAAATAAGTCATTTAACTCATTTAATTTCACCTTTCATTTTAACCTATTATTTAAAGCCACCTAAACTGTTTTTGTAACCTCACTGGGGATGAATAACATTCCTCTTTAAATATAGGATATGAGTCTAATTTAAAGATGGCATATCAAACCCCCTGATTATGGCCTATGGAGTTAACTATTCCTACTTGAGTCGCCTATTATAGCTAATCCTTCTTGATTTAAGAGCACAATTACTATAAACTAGTTAGTTTCATTGCCATTAATTTGCCAAAAGCATGTTTCTTTTCTGTTCAACTTTCTTTTTCTGTACTCTTCTTCAAAGGAAATTATCCCCAAACAAAGAAATTTGTGCTCACGTGTTTGAGCTCAGGACGCAACATAAATACTACATAAGAATGGACCTATATACGAGGAGTGTTAGAGCAAGATACTCTACCTCCTACATCAAGCCTTCTCGAAATGCTAATCAAGCTTAGCTCATTGCATGTAATCCTCATTGTAATTATCGCTTATCAAAGAGACAAATCCCTCGAGCCAAGGCAGTTGCTGCAGATCCTTCATGGCATCAACATAGGAATCCGTACAGCGAGGTGGGGATTGGTAAGGATTATGATCGGTCAAACTGAAACCTCCGGAAAGAAACCTCTGGATCACTGCCAGTTGTGATCTCTCCGGGTCTGAATACGCATCCATTAACATCGGGAGTGACTCAAATGAGTCCTCTGTCCATTGTTCTTGTTGGATAGGATGAGGCTCCAGTTCATCAGAGAAATCCTCATCCCAGAAAGCGCATTGACATGTCTGTTGGCCATGCCTGTAATCTGCACCACAAGAGTAACAGAACTCGTTTCTGCACCTGTAAAAGAACACGAGGAGTTGGTGACACAACATGTCAAGAATCTACTCACCTGTTGACATTTTCATGTAAGAAATGCTTGTCTAAAACAATTTTTCCCATCAAAATAGAATTGATTCATGAATATTTAGACAAAACACAAACGATCAACCAATAACTATAGCCCTGCTGACGAGTGACATGATGAAAAACTGAGATTTCCACATCCAAATGGACAATCTAATCAGTTTCGAACCTTCTAATTGTGGAAAACTCTCAATGGTTCATGGGGTATTTATTGAGGGTCTCAACTGTTTTTAAGCAATTTTCAGATAAGTTTTGGAGAATGTTGACATAAATTTACAAATGCAATTATATACTCATGGACTGTATAGATATTAATGTAACAAATCACATTGTTAATCACAGCAATAATTGTAAATATATTTATAGACTTGACATATAACCAGATCAACTCTCAAAGCACCCAACTGAACAGATTTTAAAAAAATTATAGGTCACTATTGAGCACGTTAAGTAATTTAAGCAGCCCACAAGCATTCACAGCTCTACGTTGATACAGTATATGCATCAATGATTTGTTATGTCATGATCTAGTAAATTGTTACCATGATGGCCAAACATTCACTTTTGGGACAATATAAAAGTTTCTGGTAAGGCCATCCTCTAGTCATTTTATTTTGTGTCGACTGATTCTCCGTGCTCATGCTCGTGCTAGTGCTATTTTCTCTTAAATAAATGCTGCCACATATGAAAGGTTGTGGAAGGGGAAACAAATCTTTAATCAATATTTTACTTTTATGAGTAGATAATCTGTGACATAAATTGTTAATTGTGCTGTGAAACCTTATCAACAAGGAAAAATATGCTATAAGTAAAAAGCCTCGTCATGCTTCTCTACTGCTGCATATTGGTACAATAATTCAAAGCTTTTCTCAGTTAAGATTCGTAGTTATTTCAAAAGAAAATATCTTACAAGCATGTCATGTGGTAGCAACCATGAGTGAGCTCAATCATTCTCCGGCAATGCTGGCAACGTCTCCACCTTTTGTTCAGTGCCAAACGGTGCAAAGTCAAGTCACAAGCATCCCTCTCCTCTAATGGGATATTCTGATACTCTCCACAGGTCATGGAAGAATGCCAAGGAACCTCACAATCAGCACAGATAAACCTCTGACAAACAGGGCATTCCACACAACTAATGTGGGGTTGACTTGATGAGCTTGCCATAGTTGACAAGCATTCATGAGGATCAAGCAGGACTGAGCAATTAGGATATGGACAGTAAATCTTATCTGAGTTGAGAATATTTGCTTCCGCAAGAGCTTGTTCCAAAGATTCGTAAGAGGTAACTGGAAGAAAAGACCTACATTCAGCTACAGATATACAGTATTTGCACATCAATTGAGGACATCGAATGGGAACTTGAGTAGACTGTACTTTCCCCTCAACATAGGTTTTCATACAGTAAGAACAGAATGTGTGGGAACATTTGATTGTGACCATCATTGAAGTGAGCTTCGTCTCGCAACATATTGCACAAGTGTCTGTTAGTTTATCTCCATTGGCCATCTTGGCCATAGAAATAACAATACCAATAGCTACTTGAGCCAACTGTAAGGCCTTCTCAAGATCAATACTAGGAACAAAATTAAGAACAAAGGCTTCCATGTTACTGGCTTGTTCAACGATTCTTTCCCTCAGAGCCACCATTAGTGGATCTTCAAGTCTTTCACCATGGGAAACCTGAAAAATGTACATATCACTTTTAACTGTACAAGAGAAGCTGAATAGGAAATGACTTGAACTTGATGAATAGTGCCAAAGAACATCTATTTGTTAACGACATCACGGATAGTGATTATCACTACGAAGCATTGTCATAAAAGGAGCAGCTGACAACAGAAACCAACAAGGCTTGCCATCAAGCATTTTCAAAATAGACTGATAAGCAACAGTTAGATATGAAAAGGTTGAAATTTCCCATTTTGAAAGACTTGGCACGACCACGGATTCAAATGCACCACGTTCTATCATTATTAGCAATCTAACAAATCGAACGCAGCACCAAAATAGTATATCTTTGAGACTAGAAAATTTCTCACCTGATCATACAAGATCTCAGAATTGGTGAAGGCCAACACCCGACTAAAATTGTTTTGTTTAGCTTCAGATAAACCATCCAACAAAGCTAAATAATCTGCCACCAATTCGTCCACATAGAAATCGAGCTTTTTCTGCACTCGAATTGGAGGAGTGCTACCGGACCTCTCAATTACCACTCCAATTCCGGAAAGCCTAGAACCAGAATCTCCAGGGCCAACTACAGAAACACCCTTGAAATATATCTTTACAGAATCTGCTTCAAAATTGTCATATAAATCTTCATTTTTCGATTCTTCCTTTTCTTTCAATTCATCCTCATCCTCACAACAGCTTCTGAACTCATCTTCATCTTCTTCAAGTTTCACTTCCTTAACTTCGACCACAGATGAACCTTCAACAAGAACGGTTTGTTCCTCCATTTTCATAATAGTGCTTCACAATTTATTCACAAAACCACTACTAAACTAATTAATATATTTCAAAATCTGCTCAAAAATCAATCTTTCCCAGAATATTAACAGGATTTAATATTCCCCCACCCATAAGCATATGCCAATAAAGCTATGAAATCCAATACTACACCATAAAAAGGACCAGTAGCGCTCCAAGAAAACTCTGATCTTCACTTTGTCTTCTGCATCAAGCTTCATTAGTTATTATTATCCAAAAGAATCACAAAACGGGAACAAAAAAAGTTATACTGGAAAATAAAAATGAAAAAGAGTAACAAGAGAAAAGAAAAGAAAATTCCCTTCAACCAAAACAAAAATTCTTTGAGGAATAAGTCAACCCAAGAAACCCTCTTGTCAACCTAATCAGTTATCATCCCTCCACTGTCAGTCGAATCAATCTTACTAAAAATTAAAAAAATGAAAATGAAAATATATTAAATATAAATACAAGAAGTGAAGGTTCCATACCACGATGAGAAGAATAATCGAGCCGACACATTTCATCATCTCTGATTGTTCTTTATATATAAATTAAATTATACAACCCAATTATGCTCCGTCATGTCTCCACGAATTACTTATATCTTTATTTTCCTTTACAGATGGACGGTGGAGGGGTTGATTAACTGCTGCCTGATGAATGATGCGGTAATCGCTTTCTTTTTGTTGCGTGGTGGATTCTCTCTCTTTGGAGAGAAAAAAAAATAAAAACATTAAAATAAGTTAGAAAGTACTTTGCCTTGTTTGATTCGAAGTCAAAATTAACAACTAATTTAAATTACTCATTTAATGAAACTCACGATCAAGGATGGATGTGATTTCATTTGATTCTGATTCAAAAATAAAAAATCAAACCGAACCATGAACAAATAGTTTAAAAAAAAAAATTATAATGGAACCATTGATTTTTTTAAGATATAGAACCGAACCGAACGGTTCGGCTCTATTTTAGTTTGGTTTGGTTTGGCTTGGTTATTATTTCATTATTTGAGAAGGAGATAAATGAATTAAAATTTAGATATAGAGTTTGACCACTTTTTTTAATAGGTAATAAAGTAAAATGTAATAATTTTCAAAGTAGATTTTTATTTTATTTTTGTGATTCACTGATTTGCAATAATAAGAATTGAATTCGATTTTTTATTCTGGTTCTTGGTTTGTTCCTATTCTAGAACTAAAATCGAACTAGAACTAAATGGTTCTCAATTTTAAAAATCAAAACCATAATTTGTTTTGTAGAATTGAACTGAACAGCTCGATTTTGTTCGATTATGATTTGGTTTGATCATTTTGTCCACCTTTATTTACAATTTTTTCTAATAAAAAATATTGACGTGGCAGGTAAAAAGACTGATTTATTTTGGACCCTAGTAGTTCTTCTATTGCTTTGACAAGCAATTTATAAATTATATATAATTTAAATTTTAGATATTAATATTAACAATACATTCACAATTAAAATTTACTATTTTTTCTACTTTTTATTTATAAATTTTTCAAGGACCGAGGCCAAGCATATATTGAAGAAAGTTTTGATCTAATGTTCACGGTGAGCATGGATTACAATGCTTACCATGAATGTGACAGTGGACATTAAATTATTTCTGATATTGAAAAAGCAAGATTCTGAAATAATAATTTAATAAAACCAAGGCACATGGATTAGTCAGGTCCAGTTTGACTTTCAATTCCTTCAAAAAAAAAATTACCTTATTCAAATTAGTATTTTTTTTTTCTAGCTATTATTTTGTTTTTAAAAAAAAAAATTGTAATTAAGTCTTTCAATCTGTTGAATTATAAAACTGATTTCCCATTCTATTATTCACAAATTCGGAGTTTTTCTTTAATAAAAGAATAAGAGAATCAAAGAATTTTACCAATTGGGAGCTTTGTCTTTGACATTTCAAAATTTGAATCGTCTTGATTTTTTGTAAATGTTTTTCGCCCTTCTTGTTATTAGATGTTGTGGTGGAAAATGATGATGAGAATAATAAATGAAGTAAAAACTGATAATTTTTAATAAATACAATAGAAGAAAAAAGAATTTGCCTATTCACACCAATTATTCCGTCTTTTCTAGTTTTCCTCCCATTTTTCTTTAAGATGCGACTTTGTGGAGTGAGGAGAGAGAGGGCATAGATAAATTATTTTTTATTTCAATTAAGTCCAACTTACTCCTCATTTTTTAAATTACTTTCTTTATAAAATTCACCGCCATACATACATTTTATGAGACTCACAATTTTTTATTAACTTTTTAACGTACACATTTTATCTACTTTTATAAAAATGTGATAAAAATATATTTTTAACTAAACTAAATAGGGACTAATTTATCTTCTAAATTTAAATTTGACTTTTTAACAATATATTTGTACTCTTAAGTACCCAAATAATATAAATTTAAAATGCTGGAGATATAGATACTAAGAAATAAAATTTAAGTTTGGCAAATTTATAAATAAAAATAGTAAGTATCACAAAATGTGATAATAATAGTGAGCAACAGTTATGAATGTATGTTTGAAATGTGTTGGACTGTGATGCTAGGTCTAGTCCAACTGTTAGACAATGATGAAATGGTCTATTGGCCGAGACGGATTTAACAATGGGAACAATACATAAATCCCATATATAAGAATTACATTTCAAAAATAACAAACTTCAAACTTTTTTTTTCAAAAATCAGGTGTTA